TGTGTAAACTGTAACAGAATACATAATATTTCTGGAAATCTGAGTTTATCTTAATAGTCCAAGAACAATGCAGAATTTTCCGAATTATATTAGAGTTAATAATCCTAACGTAAACATCTGTATGTGGTTTTTTTAATAACTCAATAGCTAACCGACAAGGAGAATATTTATTGTTTACCTTACAAGCACCCATGGACGTTTTGGATGAAAAGAGATCCCTTTTACACGAGCAGATTTTGTCTCAAATTTTGTTAACATCTCTCAGTAAGTATTTCACAAAATTATGTTTAAAGAACCATTCCTCGCTTCTAAACCTTGCTAATTTGTCACGAATCGCGACACGTCACGACGTCATTAGCACTGCCATGAAATACATACACATGTATAGATCGCGAATGGAACATTTATTTTATCGTATAATATATATCGTATCAAATTATGTTATTCCAAATTTTGAACATTTTTTTACTATAATTATATTTCTTTGTATTTAAATGAATCGTCTGCTTAAAATTTCTAATAGATATTTTTTAATATTACGTATATTGTATGAACCGAAAGAAGAGGCTGGCCTTCACCTCTGAATCCCAATTTTTTTAATGTTATACATATTTGAAGTATTTATTGAATAGAGTTCAACGATAGCAGTTTTGAGTTTAGGAATCTCTCCGCTCGAAAGTTATTATACAGAAAAGATTGCAAATTTTGTCGTGTTTTCGAAGGACCTAATTGGCCGGAAAAGATTTCAAGAATCAAAAAATTTAACTTTGCAAAATTTCTTGAAAATGACATCATTCCCTAGAATCAGCGAAATTGTGCCACCTCCCATGTTATTATGTTCTCCTGATACAAAATTGTAAAATGAGCTTAACACATTTTCGAAAACACGAAATTTCAAATAAGGAATTTTTCGAAGATGAATTAATATCCAATAATCAGTAGAATTTCTCTATTTCCTATATTGTCGTGTTCTTTTGATACAAAATTGCAAAATGTGCTAAAAATATTTTCGGGAACCCGAAAACTTTAACTTCCCAAAATTCTTTGAAAATGAGGTAATTCCCACAAATTGGCAGAATTTTCCACCTCCTATGTTATCATGTTCTGCTGATATATAATCGCAAAGTGAACCAAAAGCATTTCCAAGATCCCGAAAATTTCAACTTCGCAAAATTCTTCGAAACTGACGTATTGGAAAAGAATCGCCGAAATTGTTCCACTCTGTATGTTATCGCGTTCCTGTAATACAGAATTGGAAAATTGGTCGAAAATTTCTTTACTCTTGAATTTCCTACGAAAATGGCGTTTTTTACAGAACTTTTAACAAGTTTCTTATATTTCTTATAGTATTTTAGTCTCTTAGTATTTTTCAAATTCCTCAAACTATTTCGTAATATTTTTTAACTTATTCCTCGAACTTATGGAAATTGGAAGTTATTTGGGGAATGTGGATATTGGAAGGATTTTAAATGATTAAACGCTTTGTTTATTTGCAAAATAATATTGTTTTCTTCAATTCATTTCATCAGTTTACAATAATTGTACAATTTTACAATGAGCTAATCTTCTGTGTAATCATTTGCGTAATTTTGTTACTTTACAATAATTTGATTCCTTCGTTTGACCGATAGAACTAAAACATCTCTTTTCATATTAAAATGACGACCCAAATCTTATAGCGTTGGTGATGTGGTGCAGTGTTTTGCCACTTGTTTTCGAATTGCCACTAAGCGCCTACTTTTGGCCAACTGCGTATGGACTGGTACGAACCGAGACATATTTTCCTTCTCATAGTGCACACGTTTTTCCCACCAATAGCACCGGAGAAAAAAGTGTACGTATAGTTTGAACCGTTTGGACATTAGAAGCGGCAATTAATGAAGTGCATTTATGGGTGAATTTCTCCTTTGATCATCGGCAATTTTCCTAATTTCATCTCTGACATTACCAACTAACATTTATTTGGGGATTTTACATACATTGTTCACTAAAATTCTTTCTTTCGTCGGGTTTAGCTATTGCTTATACATCTTAAGTATGATTACTGATATTATTGAAGTTACAAGTTACTCTACGAAATGATTTACATATTCTCTTCGTTATACAATTCTACCTGCTCAATATGTAAAGTGTGAATTATACTATAATTGATAAGAAAATCGTTTGTGTCCCTCTTTATAAAAATAACAAAAAGTCAATTGAGTAAAAATATTTTTAGTTCTTAATTTTATTATGGAATTTCTTTCTCTGAAATTCTTAATTTTTAAAATATAGTTTACATGTACTGTTTCAATATGAAATAATGTTAATAGTAATAGTGGTAAACAATGATGATAATGAACTTTTTCTCTATAAAGTAGTGGAGGAAATATTTAAAAAATTTAAGTACATATATATCTCTTATAATGTTTACAATATCTTTTGTAATGACATATTTTTTATCTATAATACAATTGAAAAATTACAAGACAACGATATTGTATTGCAATATACTGTATTATTTGTAATAATAAAAATATCAAAAATTTATCGGAATTGAACAGGACTTATCCTTAAGCCGATACATTCTTTTCCGATTAGTGCAACTTCACAAACTTTGCATACTGTATCTTTAA